TTAACGTGATGATAGCCGCCATCGTGAAACGCCTAATCTGCAGTACAGTAGCATATGCCTTCTGACTGGTTAAAAATGAAAACAAAGAAGAAATCATGTCAATAGAGCCCAAAATGGAAGATTTAAAAAATCCTGTCAATAGTGCCAAAAATGGCACTGCTGACAGGACGATCCTGTCAGCAATGCAGTATTTCCTGTTATTGACAGGATCGTCCTGTCAGCAGTGCAATATTTTCTGCTATTGACAGGATCGTCCTGTCAGCAGTGCAATATTTTCTGCTATTGACAGGACGATCCTGTCAGCAGTGCAGTATTTCCTGCTGTTGACAGGACGATCCTGTCAATAGCCTCAGGCTTAGTTTTTACTTATTTTAGGGGTACTGAATGTGGTCTTAGCACTTTTCGCACTATATTATTGATAAATGCACAATGATATTAAAATCAAGTAAGATACCTAAATTCCTTCCTTCCAACTGAAAACATAGTTAATGTTGTAATCTTTCTTTTTGTCACCATAATTTTTCCATCGATTAATCCCTAGATTTCTCAATATGCAGCAGTATGATGTTAAAAAGACTGTACTATAGTACAGTACAGTAAGTACAGAAAGGGCATTATCATTAGATAGCTTTGAATAATGTCTAGAGTTAGATGTTCAAGGGTTAGGTGTAACAAGTCGATCGGTGTAAATAAAAATGTAGCCAGGTGCCGCCACGCCGCATTTCTGCGAAGTTGGTGTGTTATGCCGAAGGGTGGTTATACCGGCTGTACAGATAACAGTACAGATATAGATATAGATACTACAGACATTAAGATTCTCACCTTAGTAAGTATTCTGGTGCCTTTTTTTTTCTTATTTTAATGTCACTCATCTCCTTACTCCCCAGACCATCCCTGATCCCCACCTGCGGCTGGGTATATCAGCACGATGGGGCACGGGGAATCAGCTGGCCGTCCATGCGGCACTCCATCCACCGCAAGGTATTATGAACAAGCCACCCTGCTAGCTAATCCTAGCAGTGCATGCCCGTAGCCAGGATTTTGAATGGGGGGGTTCGTCCCACTGCTTGAGGGGACCTCGAGCGTTCCTAGGGGGGTCCGGGGGCATGCACCCTCGGAAAATTTTGAAAAATGAACCTTCTAAAATGGCATTTCGTGCATTTTTGAGAGGATTTCCAAGAAAAAAATCAGAAATAAATTTTTATTCAATGACAACGGGAGCAGTTTTTCTACGATTCCAGTCCATCTTTTCAAGAAAAATCTTGGACCTTTACATAAAATGTGCACCAAAAAGTGGACCTTTACATAAAATGAGGACCAAAAAGTGGACCTTTACATAAAAAGTGGACCAAAAAGTGGACCTTTGAGCCTTGTGGGGGGGTTCTTCCGAACCCACAGAACCCCCCCTGGTTACGGGCATGCAGTGGTAGAAATACTTCCTTTCAGTGCTCTGCAATATTGCAGAAGAGTCAAAATTTTGTTCTGCAATTGGGAAATACTTCCTGCAAGTACTCACGCCTCCATTATACTACAACCTTCTCAAACCCAAAATATCTGTAACCTTAAATTAGGGTTAGCGTAACCCTAAGTTAGGGTTCCATCTGTTCAAGACTGATATTTCTTTCCCCCACAGAAGGTGTGACCTCGGGTATCCAGGAGAGTCCACTGGTGCATGAAGTGAGGTGGGGCACTCAGGAGGTCAATAACCCCATCATCAGGAAACTCATCAACGAGACACATGGTAACAACATTAGTTCCAACTGTTGTAAAAAATCCTAGGGTACCGTTTTAACTTTCCCTTTTGCCAAACCTCCTAAATATTATCAATGCTCAATTTTGGTAAATTCTCAAGCGGCAACCTTAGCAGGCTGAGGGTTAAAGAAGAGTATGGATCTTTATAGTTTCATCAGATAGTTACTGGGCTGTATCAATTTATCATTATTATTCATTATTGTTCACTCATTTTTACAACTGAGTTTTAGCCATTGACACAGTAGCCATTTTAGCAGGCTCATTTTAGTGCTGTAGACAATGGATGGTTTACTGAACCTAACATGTTGTACTTCTTTTTGCAGGAACTTTTGTATCCCTTCAACATCACCAACCAGACACCACAACAACCAATAGGAAACCTCAGTAAGTTAGACTGCAACTCTTCTTACACTTTCCCATTGTGGCCTCTGATTGGTTTCAATGGTTTGTGAGATTTTGACTGAATATTTTGAGTGGTCCCCTTGATGCTGGTATGGTGTGTAAGACTCCTGTCAAACATAGCTGAATATGGCCTCCCAAACACCATCTAACTCTGCCTAACTGTCACTGAAAAAAGCAGTGGATCTGACAGTTTTCAAAATCTAACCCGTTGCTTGAGTAACAATTTTCTTGTTTACCTGCTGTTGTTTACTGTTTACCCAGACTGGTGAAGTTCAGTCGGAACTACCGGTCAGTGATCCGGGCGTGCCTGATGCAGCTGAAGCAGGCGGAGGAGTCTGCGCGTGACGATGCGACTGCGGAGGAGTACGGCATGCAGGTGGAGATCTACAGAATGGTGGAGCTCATCTGGAGCCTGTGTGAGATCCTGTTCGTGGAGACTCTGCCAGGTGGCGCTGCTGCACTCTTACATTGTACAGGCAGTGGTAGAAATAGGTTTTTCAGTGTTCTGCAATTAGTGCTGTGTACCTAAACCCACATTTAGGTTCAGGTCCGGATTCAATCTAGAGGTTTAGGTTCAGTTATGGACTCGAAAATCCAGACCTAAGCCCATGGCATATATAAAATTGCATGTTGGCAACCTTGCAATATTGTTTGGGCAAAGCTTTAGCCATATAACATGGAGGTTGACACTTGACAATGCCCGATGGCAATGTTTTCTTCATTTTGCAGCACAGATTTTGCAATATATGGAAGGTTTTAAGTAGCTTGGAAAGAAAGGGCATATGTGACATGTTTTTGTTTTTTATTTTGTAATAAGTCCGGAATAGGTTCTTGACTTTTAGGTTTTTTGGACTTGAACCTAAACATTTTTACAAGTCCAGAACCAGTCCAGCGAACCGGTACACAGCACTATCTGCAATATTGCAGGATGTTAAAATTTTAGTCTGCAATTTGGAAATACTTTCTGCAAACACACTTAAATGTCTAAACCCATGGCATCTACAAAATTGCATGTTGGCAAACATTTTACATGCAATTTGAAAAATGCAACCACAATTCTTGTATATCATAGAATCAGTACTACTACTAGTAAATACAAACGCTTTTATACACCAGCAAACTCCTGGCCTGATTTTTTCAGTCTGCAAAATTGCAGGTTGGTTAATTTTTCTTCCACAGTATTGAAAGTGTCTCTCAAAATGCATACTGCAAATGGGTATTTCTAACATTGACAGGGCACTTTTCCATACATTCATCATCATCATAGAGAAATGACTAGTGTTCATTTTCCTCTTCTCGTAATTGCAGTTTTAGATGGTATACTGACAGCTAGGTGCATTTTTCTCCTGTGTTGCTAGGTGGCGTCGTGTTGGCACAGCTCCTGGACTGGGTAAAATGGCACTTCAATGAAGCTGATGGATATGCCAATGAGGCAACGACTTCAGACACCCCCCACTTACATGACAGCTACTGGTCTGCTGTATGTATCAAACCTCAGTCTTCGTTAAAAACATCAATAGAACAGATGGATAAATGTACCCTGTAATTTATTAGTCATGTTGTTATAGCATGTTGTAAACCTGAAAACCATTTTAGCATATACCTGCTAGGAATATTAAATCTTGAAATATTATTGGTACTATAATGGTCCCGTAACATAAGAGTCTCTAAATATTCTTCTGTCTTCCAGGTTTACCTCTACGTTCTTCAGGGCAGAAATGACGAAGCAAGAAAACTTCTGTCCCTGGACCCAAACAGGAATATGGATGTGTATGATGTGAGTATGATAACCCTAAACAAAGCTTTTTAAAAACCCTCTACAAATTTTACTGCAGTACTGCAGAATTGTGTGGTTGTTTTGAATGGCAGAGTTAGTGTTTTCAGTCAACTGTTAAGGTGAAGGTCTAGTTTGTTCACTGAACATAATCACTAGCTTTTTGTTTCCCTTGGTGGGTGTAGAAATCTTTTATCTGTTTTTCTCACTCTTTGTCATTTGTGTTTCACACAGGAATATGCCAGCATCGATGAGCTCCTCAGAAAAATGCCATTCTTCACAGTAAGTACAACAACCATTGTACAGTAAGTACAGCAACTTCAAACCTCTATAGAATTACTAAATTATTTTTACAGTCTGTTGGAAGATGCCTTATCATCCGATGGTATGCATAGAAGATGATTAGATTTACATGTAGGAGTAGCCAATGGTAAGCCACGTTTCTGTCATAGGATAACTATTATGCTAATCATCTTACATACAAGTACTGTTGTAAAACAACATAGGAGGCTGTTTGAAGTGCAGTGAAACCAGCCACTGTCCTATATGAAGACAGGCATTGCTTCACATATTAGATTTACAACTTTTGGGTACTTTTTCCAGTTATATACAGGGCAGTCTCTGGCAGAGTTCGACATGAAGTGGCGCCATTGGCAGGACGAATGTCGCCGGCGCTACTCAGAGGGAGAGTTTAACACAAACAAGAACCTGGAGACCATATGTAGAGTGAGTTATCAACAAGGGCTTGTTCAGCACTCCCAATGTGTTCTGGTAAAGGAAATCTGTTTTATTGTACTTTGATCTTGCCTTTACAGCTAACCTTCCCTTTATTTTACAGATACTGTGTGGAGACGAAGATGTGTTCTTGGATCTTAAGTAAGTCTGAAGAAATCTTGTAGCTAAGTAAATGTTCAAGTCCTCAGTCACAAGAAATAAGACTGTTGTAAACAATGGTCCAAAATATTGCTAAAAAATTTCCAACACAAGAGGTTGGACTTACCCAAATATTCGACTGTGCAACTCCAGTCTTTCTCAAGGAATGCTAATTGTTTGACAGAGATAGGAGTTGCACAGTCAAATTTGGGTAAGTCCAATATTTTCATTCTCTTGTGTTACAAATTACAGTTTAGAACTTCATAATGACTTCTACCAACACAGATGAACTTTCACTATAGGCCTGAATTTGCTATGTTCTAATTTAGATTGTTAACCAGAACTTGTCTGTTACTGTCTTTTATCACACATCTTCTTACCTCCTTCCACAGAGACCTGACAGAGACATGGTACCAGATGCTGGTGTCCAAACTGCTGTACTGTAACCCTACTGTCAAGGCCTTCGACCTGCAGTACCACGTCAAGGTGGGAAGACTTCTTCCTGCAAGAAATGTTGAATAGGGAGGGATGGTAAAAATCTTGGGTCTGAGTCAAGCACTCTAATGTAATGCCACAGGACCCCACCTTGAATGTACTAAAAGAATAAAGGTTCATTGAATGTTCCCTTTTTTCAGGCATGTATTGATGCTTATGATGGCCATGCCACATTACAACCCCTAGACAACATCCTCCTGGCAGCAATTGAGTTTGACCTCCACCAGGTGATCAAGGAGAGCAGGTACTGCAAATGTCATAATAAAAAGCACCTCTGGCAGGCATGTTCTATTTTTCCAACTTTTTTTTTAAATTGTACTCTTGGGGTACTTTTTCCATTGAAATGCATAAGATTTACAGTACTGAAAAGTGTTGTTCTGTCCCTGTACAGTTCCCTTCTTGGGAACTGGTGGTTCGTGGCTCATCTTGCAGACCTCCTGTTCCAGTGTGGACAACTGGAGTCTCACAGTCTCAAGTAAGTCACTCATCATAATGTAATTTTAGCAGTGTCCACATACAATACTGCACGCTGTATTCTGAATGATTTGGTGTGAAGGATTCAACCATTAAGATTGTATTAGACATTGGCACCACCTAGTAGAGCCCTGCAAAACTGCAGCTTCATTTTTGTTTTCATGCATTGTAGTTATGGGTCCAATCTACGAGAGTTCCTACTGTTAGACATTGGTGATTAGACATTGGCTCCATCTAGCAGAATCCATCTCTCCATCTATGAAACTGCAGCTTGTTTTATTTTCGTGTATTGTAGTTATGGATCCAACCTGCGTGAGTTCCTACTGTTGGACTATGCCTCCAGTCTGATGTCTCACCCCAGTCTATGGCAGGTGGGCGCAAGCTATCTGGACTACTGCCCTGAGTTCGGAAGGTAAGGAAAAATATTCGTTTCAGAATCTGTTGTTTTTAAAAGCACTATTAAAATGTCTTTTTATCTTTATGAATGTGATTGTCCATGTATCAAGTATTGATAACTGTGCCCCCCTCTCCACCCTAGGTACTATCTGGAGTTCTACCTGGAACGTCTACCTTTGCAGACAGAACGAAAGGCACTGAAAGTTCTGAGGGAGTGTGAAAAGAGAGACATGAAGGACATATGTAAGTACAATGTACAAGATGCAACTGTACCAAAATGATGACCTGGGAGTTTCACTGTGTTAGTAAGTTCAGTTCTGATATAGAAAACGACACTCAATTTTTAAATTTTTTTTCCAGCCCACAGCATCTGTAAGGTGATGGGGGTACGAGCATTGCGGAATGAGAGACTAGGTTCAGCCTTGTCATGGGCTCTCCGGTCAAAGGTATGTGTATTACATGTGATATATTTGCTAACAATGTCTCTGTTCTGTTCTGTTGAAATTTGCTATTATCTTCATAATGCGGTATAGAATATCTTGACTACTTCAAAGGTTAGTAATGTCGAAAGTCTTTAAACAAGACTGCCAATTTGAAGGTCTTGTATCAGATAAGATTGACCTTGAGTATGATGGCACCCCTTCCGTTCCAGGATGCATCTTTTGCAACATTTCTTGCCGACCGTTTCCTGTCAGAGTACAGCAGTAAGGGTGGCTTCTCTAGTCTGGACCTACTGGACAACCTGGGGACAGCCATGGTGCTCAGTGATAGGCTCACATTTCTGGGTAAACAACTACCAAATATGGCCATTATATACAGGACATAGGCTGATGTCATGCACATGATTTACCAAATATGGTCATATATAGATGACATGCTAATCTTAGGCACATGATTACCAAATATTGTCATATAATGGTGACACACACTACTGTCAGCCAAACAACTACCAAATCTGGTCATACTCTCCCTGTATATAGATGACATTTGTTAACTAATTTCTGGCACATTATTACCAAATATGATCATTTAAAGGTGATATGTGCTACTGTTAGCCAAATAATTACCAAATATGGTCATATGATGATGACATGCTAATGTTAGGCAATAACTACTGAATGTGGTAATATGGAAAGGGCATGCTAATGTTTGGCAAACTACCACCAATTATGGTAAAAGAGACACTAATGTTAGCAAACAACTACCAAATCTATGTTAAGTTCTAAGCCCATGAAGCCGTCCTCCCTGCAGGTAAATACCGTGAGTTCCACCGTCTTCACGAGGAGCGAGAGTTCAAGTCCGCAGCCAATCTGCTTCTGCAGCTCCTGACCAATAGGATGGCTCCCAAAAAGTATGTCTGTTGTACATGATCTGGACAGTTGACACTCTGGCATGCATTTTTGCCCCCTTAGAAAAGGGTTGTTCTTCCCTTTTGACAGCTGTATGCAAAGTGAGAAGTTGCTATGGTCCTTATAAAACTATAGAAATATGAATACACAATCAAAACAAGTTTTTTTTTCTACATTGCAGCTGATTTGGGATTTCCAAAGCATGTTTGGCCTTACATAAACTTTAAGCTCTGTCTAATTGTGTACTGGTAGATTGGGTAGGCTGTAAATGAACTTTTTTTCATTCATCCCTGCTCTTTGTGAGTTCAGAGTTACTTACACTTACAGTAGGGTGGGATTTGAACCCTGGACTGTTGCTCCGAGAAAGGAGGTAGATACTATTGTACCACTGTTTTCTTCTTTGTTGTTGCTATGAAGTTGTGTTCATCCCTGCAGGTTCTGGCTGACATTACTGACAGATGCTCTCCCCCTGTTGGAGTCTGAGGAAGTAAGAAAACATTTTTCTCCTTTTTCACAGTTGATGAAATCTGAGCTACATGTATACACTTAATGTTAGGTGATAATCTACATACTATTAGATGTTCAGTAAGTTCAGACATGTACTTGGATACTTTATAGCTCCCTACACATTTGTCTACAATGTTATTCTTCCTGGAGTTTTTTAAGAGACATTATGGAACAAATACATGACAGATCAGAATGCAAAAAACAACTATTTACAAATTTAGACATACAAGTACAATATCTTCCAGAAAATTGTTTTGGGTGCAGATTACACATGATACAGTAGACTGTTCCAGCTAGAAATCGATCTGTACATAAGTGTCTTTTTTGTAGTGATTGTTTTTGGTTTAATCTGTCTGTATGTGTTCTTGCTGGCATGACGTGTCTTGTGACTGTGCTGCTGTGTCACAGTAGACAACTGGTACATGTACATGCAGTAGAGAACTGCAGGTTGAGAATGGCAAGGATGCGATGCTGATGTTGAATGTTTCCGTTAATGCCCTGCAGGTCATCTTCAGCACCCAGCAGACCTATGAGCTGATGAACTGTCTGGAGGACATCAGCCTTTCCTTCAGATCATCTGCATATCTCCATGGAGACACAGCTGATGACGCCCAGCTCAAGCTTACTAAGGCATGGACTAATTTGTTTCGTACTATCTTGTATATGTAATGTTCTGACAGTTTGTTTCTAGATTCTGTATAATGACTAATTGCATTGTTTAGCCCCTTGACATTCAGTTGTTGTTTGTTTTGTACTTCCGGGTCATGCTGAGTTTCCCATCATGCCTCTGCAGGGTCAACAGGAAGTGGAGAAGCAGAAGTTGGACCTGATCAGACTTGCGCTGGCGAGGAACCTGGCACGCGCCATTCTGAGTGAGGGGAGCCTGGAGTAGCAGATATTTTCATGAACATTTATTTTTGACTGTGGACCAAGTACCCATATCTTGAAATGTTAGTGAACTACCAGTACATAAAAGACTGATTCTTAATAATCTCATCTATAAAATTTTCTATATATTTGTATCCAACATACTCAGTATGCCATACACATAAAACATGTGATCATTGATATGTTAAACTGTAGGATTTGATACAAAAGTCACAACTATCATTGCATTTTCGTACTGGATGAGAAGACTGGTGGCTTGTATCGTATACATTGTAAGTACATGTATGCATGTGCTATGGATCATGTACATATTGAAACTCACACTGACACAGAGCAAAACCATTTTCTCTTGTCAAAGAATGTAGACTACTACTTCAGAGACAATACAGTTCCCTCAGTAACTTGGAGGACTCAGTAGTCATCTTTGGTCCTGTAGTAGGATTGGGATAGAAATGCGCTCCAGTTGTCATCTTTGTAGTAGGAGTTTAATGCATATAATCCGCAGTTTGAAAAGAAGATGCTATGCAGATTTTCTATTCGTGTATCATGAAGAATCCTTTAGAAAATTGTTTGGATTATCAATGTATAGTCGTACCATCTTATCATCACTGGATTCCCTTACTTTCTACTGATATGACATCTTGTTTTACTTTATGTTATCTGAGTGTCTACTTGACAAACTGTCATGAGGAGACTGATGATAACAAAGTGTAAGTAAGGTGCTTTAAGTACAACAGTCAAACCATCAGCTTGCACTTTGCAACATAACCACTAGAGGACGCTACTGAGTTGTCTGTCTTTCAGTGTGCATCAGTCTGCCTTTCAGTAATAGCTGGGGGTGGTATCAAATCCTGCAGCTCTTTCAGGAATCATAAATGTACACCTCAGGTTTGTGTCTGCTAAGGTAGTTGTCTGGCACCAAATCTGTAAAGATGACCTTGTTAAGAAGCAAGGTCAAGGTTGACCTAGCTTCTGCCAATCCAGCCATCTTGGCAAAGGTAGCTGAAAACAGATTTGAACAATTTCCTAGAAGTGCTTGATAATGGAAAAGTACAGACACGACCTGGTACTCACATTTCTGCTGGCAGACTGGAGCACAAATGTTGAGCCAGAAGACATAACACACTTCAGTTTACTACCTCTAGTCATGGGGGGTCACAGGCACCCCACAGTGGGCACAGTCTTCTTCAAACTTGTACTTGTAAAACCTGGGGGGAAACTGTACCCTTCAGCAGAAATGACTGCCAAATGTGGAGTCAAAGACCGCAGTCGTGCTGTGTTTAGCTTCAAGGTCGTGTGAAAGTGACACCGTGTGTGCCACATAGCAATTTATTTCTCCCAAAATTCATCATTTATTGAAAAATCCTTTGTATCATGATGTATGTAGTTGAATATCAGATTGCTCAAAAGTCATAACAGAATGCCCAGTGTCTGCATAGTAGTTTGCCGACATGCCAGGCACTCCATTATACAAAGAATATTCCAATTAATTAGGCTCATGAACTAAATAGGATCATGGCACCCAAACATGAGGTGGTTATAGCAACTGGAAAAGCCTTATGTACACCGAGAAACAGGTGGGTTATTAACCATTATCATCATTAGGTGTTCTAAACTAAAGCATCATGTGCGATATTGCATGTCTTTGTGATCGTTTTTACGTGTTACATTTGGGGTCACCGGCGGTCATTCTTACCGAACGCGTGTTCAATTAACGGTCGCCGGCAGTCGCGGTGTTCATGGGATTTAATCACCACTGTTAAATGTTATGGTGTTATAACCAATATAAAATAGGGACTACTGATTGGTTGGCGCCTTCTGGTTATATGATAATGAGGATTAAAAAGTGACTGATTTTTGCAGTGATCTGCCATGAGAATTTCTTCGATCATGCAACGTTGAATGCAATGCTTATTAATGTGAAGTATAAAACTTTTACGTGGCAATTGCAATGCACTATGTTGTCAGGTCTTGTTCTTTTTAAAGTACATGTATTTTCACAGTGCTTTAACCAAAACCATACACCTGGATACATAAAATGCAGCGACAAACACTAAAAGAATGTCAGTATGTTCAGAATTCTGGATTGTCCCAGTCTATTTTAAGTATTTTCACAGCGCTCTAAACCAGAACCACACGCTGAGTAGACATGGATACATAAAATGTAGCGACAAACACTCCCCCAAATTAAAGGATGTCAATTTGTTCGGACTTCTAGATTGCCCTATTGTTTTTTTTAGTATTTTCATAGTGCTCTAAACCAGAACCACATGCTTGGTAGACATGGACACATAAAATGTAGCGACTAACACTGAATGGATGCCAATTTGTAGACTTTTATATTACCCCAAGGACACCAGGATTACTCCTAGAGGTCACAAGAGTTTGGTGGGTCGTTAAACCATGCTGAGGTAGACATATGGCACCGTATTTCTGTTTGTTATGGGATAAGGCATCAGGGAGAAGGTTAATATGTCTGTCTCCGACATGCTGAGGTAGCCATTTGGCACAAAATTTGTAGTGGACATTACAGGGTTTAAATAGGCAACCACTTTCTCAACTCTTCCCTTTCCTCAAGTCCCCTCCCCATCTTCCCTTGCCCGACATACTGTCTTTCACATTGAAAGCACCAAAGGCCTTTCCTGCTCGGTCCTAAGACCACATAGTTGAAGGCTACCTCAAAACAAATTCCCTAGGGAATGCATTCGTGTAATTTTTGACATTCTTTCAAAGCGATCGTAGTACTGTAAAAAATGCCTCCACTCTTTAGGCGTTGCCAAAAACTTGCCAGTGCAGGGCCTCCCTAACCCCCACCAACATCAGCTGAACATCTGTGGAAAATTTGGTAAGAGAACTGCTGAACTCAGCGTCTAGGCTTCCCGGGTCAAATGAGGACAGATGTGTTCTCAATCTGAATTAAAATTTCGTACCTGTAAGCAAGGAGGTACCTCCTTGCTGTAACGTTACCCAACATCCGAGAATCTGGGGTAGGACACGTGATGTTTTAAAATTGAACTTTTATCACACATCACGCCAGGGCCTAGCATATATAAGGAATTTCTAAATTTTCAACAAGATCAAGGTATTACCATCCATTAGAGCTTCCAGCCTTCTCAGAGGTACAACTTGTATGTGTAGGGTGTATATCAAACTTAATTCACCCTTTACCCATACTTTTGCGACCCTCCAAGTCCATTAATAGACAAAAAGAGCGCCACTGCCGAAGATGAATGGCAATACTGCAGTGCAGTGACTGCACAGACCAAAAACATAAGAGTAGTGATGATACGTTAGTCGTCTTTGATTCAACGTAAAGCGTGGTCGGGAATTTATTGCTAAGATGTGATTGCTTAATCTCTAACCATGGTTACAGACTGGATTACCCCCACCATAAGATCTGCTTGGAGATTAGTGATTGCTCGCTTTACTTCCACGTAGCACGTCATTTGGTATCTTCATATTCTTCATATCGCATAGTCGAAGTTCATAGTCGAGCGCCAAATGGATTACAGACTAGTCATTTTCCAGACCGTCCAAATGAATACATGAACATGAACATTTCAATCTAAAATAAATAATAAGACTGACACAATAACAACTTAAATTAAGTGTTGTCGGCCCACCTAAATTTACCATTAAGCGTTAACTTTACAAGGACCCCCATGCAGACCCTCAACCAATTAAACTGAAAGAAATGGAGACTGACGCAGATTCTGAAAAGTTGGCTTCAGCATTGTACGTGATCCTTTCACTGATCTAAAAAAATCCCTTGAACACTCAATGACCGCAAGTAGCACCAAGACTAGCTGATGTATTAGTGAGAAGGATTGCACTCTAGTGTTTGGGCAAATATTTTCTCACCAAATGTTTTGCAGACTGCGGTCTGGGCATTGAGATAAGCCCTAGAGGTGAGGTCTGATTTGTTCACTGATACCAGCAGTATTTGGACACTGATCGAAAAATCAAAGCCGACCGTTTGGACTCAGGTCAGTAGGTCAGAGACTAGTCCAGTTCGGCAAGAAGAGGGGGTTACATAATATTACTACGGTAACCTATGGTGCCTGCCTGGTGGTTTCCCTCTCTCTGCGGCGCTACAAGTGTGCCTGCCCGCCCGCCAAACATCCCGCTCAACGCGCGCTTTGGACCGGCGTCACAAACTAGTCTCCACCAGACTTCTTTGCAGGTTGAATGAATAGTAAAAATTGGCCTAAAAAGAATATAGCTGGCAGGCAAACTGGACCCTCTATTGCCGGGCAACTCCCCTGGCCAGCTACATTCTTTTAAGGCCGATTTCTACCTTAATATCTATTTGCTAAGGAGTCTGGTGGAGACCAGTCACAAACGGCGTTTCGCCGTCCGGGACACTTTCATTTTTCACAGACGGTGCTTCTTAAGGGTTGTCATGAAGCAGCTACGTTAGTAACATTGTCTATAAAGTTCCACACTGTGCCAGACCATGGTCCAAGTTATGATTAGAAAAGCTGTCAGGAAAGATCAAGGAAGGTGATTTAAGCCTCCTTGGAAAGATCGGCTGCCGAAGCAAAGGCCCCGTGAAAAAAAAACAGCCACCGGCAACACGTATGAGAAGTATTGTACGACAGTTCTTCTGATGTGTGTGTAATTTGTGTCTTGATCGTAGTCTGTGTCTGCATCAAAGTGGAAAAGAAGAATGCTAGCGTCTTTTGCGCTGTCACAATCATAAACAGGAGATGTTTTTCAAACACATGTTTGAAGAAGTTAGATATAAATGGTTTTAATTCACTCTTTTCTTACAAAATTAGGTGTCAAAATTCACAGCTCAAGGTCACGGAAGGAGTGAGTCGCCGACTTTTCAGGCCGGTCATCAGGAGGTCAAGACATAGTTCCCTGGACTGTTGACGTCTCCTTGACCTGTTCTTACTTTAAAGAAAACAGTTATGTCTACAGCCGTAGCAGAGATGTGTGATCGTGTGAACCGCACAGTTGGCCGAGTGTTGTTTAGACAGTGACCTTTGCAGGAGTCACAACATCCCTCCGCACCTGGCCACCAGCCCGCAGCGTCCGCCAACGTCTCCTGCCTGCCGCCCGTCCTCCGGTGTGTTTACCGACTGTCTTGTCTCTCACACCCGGCTCAATCTGGTTCGTATACACCGCAGACATGGAAGGTCAGCTACCCCACCTCTGCGTACTCTTTATCTTGTTTTTACATGGTTCTCTCTAGCCTGGATGCCAGGCGACTCTCGTGAGGCAATGCCAATTCGGTTGAGCACTGCTGTGCAATAATCATGTTCAAATTGACAATCAGTATCTGGACATGCTACACCTGTCAGGGGCAGATGGATCAGACTCAATCAAGGGCAAATTCACATTGATGTTAAAGATATTAATTGTGAGTGAAAGTTCAGTGGACTACCGTATTTTCACACATCAGTTCTATAACGCACGCACCCCCAGTCAAGGGAGCCGAAACCGTCTTTCAGGGAAAACCCTTTGACGTACTTGTTTTATTAAAGATTGGAAGAATGCAGAAGGTTCCTTGTGAGCACATCTTTAAAGGATGATTGGAGTCCAAACGTCAGGGCCTTGTTCTGCGTGCAGGGAAAGGTTTCAGGGAAGGACATGGTTACATTTCCGAAGGATTTCACAATGAAATTTTTCTCACAGACTTTGCTTCCCTGGTTACCAAACCGAGAGGATAAGAGACTCGGAAGCTAAAGTGGATTTGGTAACCAGGCTGAGTCTCAATGATTGATAAATTGAAGGTACAGACGTCATTTTATGACCTTTGAATTTCCTTGGATTACATCAAACTTGCCAAGTGAAAAACCTTCAAGATATTGTACAGCAATTCCACCTACGGACACCCAATGCTAACATACCCGTAAGAAGGAAGTTACATATGTACACCAATTCCTTCTTATAATTACAACTATCCATGGCTGGCTGCAGTTGGCTTTATGCAATCCAAGGAAATACAAAGGACATAAAATGACGCCTGTACCTTAGACTGATCAAACATTGCTTGCTGATAGGGCCCAAAAGTTGTACGTCACTTCTTCCCTATCACAATAGCTATCTACCGACTAAAGATCAGGACTTACATGTACAGCTTATCTAGAACACTGCTACAGTACCAAGGAAAGCCACCAGGGGGCCATAATCAAATTATTTCTTCACTAGGACAAGAAGTAACTACATACTGATGTTGAAAGTGCCCTTTAATATTCCTTACAAAACATATCTCACATATAATCTGCTGAAAACTTGTCCATCACTCAGACATTTCATTTTCACAGAGGTACTATCTACTGGCATTTTTTATTTACATTCCAGAATCACCAAAAGCACCTGCAAATTTCGGACACATTCTTTTACTAAATATTGAGGCACTTCCATCCATTTATCCCCTATTACTGGCAGTAGACACACATCTCATAAACATCAAGAGAATGTTAAAAATAGGCTACCCCTACCTTTTCTAATGGAATATCCCAATAACATATTTTATATAGGTACTATGCACTAAGGAACAGCACGAAACTGACACAGTTTAAGTGCCGAACACAGCGCATGTTAAACAGTACACTACCCTATTGTGTCCGTCTGCTGAATGACAGTTAAAGTAGTAGAACTGTAAGTCGTGATGATATTGTTTTTATGTAATTTTATAGTGATTTATGTCTTTGTTATTTCTGATTTGCAATGCTTTATGCTGATAAGCACACGATTTTAGTGGAAAAAAAACCGCAATTCAGCATTTTTGCTGCAAGGGTTTTTGTTGTTGAATAAACCATTCTCTCTCTCTAACCAAGGTGCTTATATCTCCCTATAAACTCCTTGTTCTAACGACTTCCAAATGTAGCCAGTAGTAACTATAATTCTCTTAAATTTGGTTACATCCAAATGATTACATACTTTGGTGCGCTTGGCTTCTGATAAGTGCAGTGTCAGGTTGAATATTCCAAAATTATTACCTATCAAATAAATAACAATGAAATAAAGGTAAGGTAAAGCGGTCATACTGTGCAGATTTGTAACGTAATATCAAAACCATGCTTAATGTCTTAATGTAGGTATGGTAAGATCTCTATAACATGCATCCAGCTCTATAAGGCCAAACAAACAATCTGACTTTGTGGATGACATTCTGTAATTAAACCTGTGCAAGACATTTTTGTTTTCCAAACATTGCTATTTTGCAACATAATTTATGCTCACTCTTCAACTAAGAGAATTGGTTGCAATTTTCAGTAGTGTAGTTTTTGCACTTGTATGAGGGGTTGGTACCCCTCCTCGTGTGCCTCCAAAATCTTGCTACCAAATGCATGCCAAAAACAGGGAAACTTGCTGCCATGCCTGTTCCTAGACACGAACTTTGTTTCTTTTAATGACGGTGGATTTACAACCCCTTGCAGATGTAGATGGAGGTACCATAAATCCTTTCCATAAATGGTCACCTTTCCTGTCTAGTTCAGGGAACAGGCCAGAGCCAAGGCCAAAGTCAACGTGCATGCATCTGCCATCCGTAAATTATATTAGCGTGGCCTTACATAACCTAACAGCTTTGGTCTGTATCAGGCAGTGCAGTTTCCTCCGGCGTCATGTACGAACACCAAAAACTATGGATTAATCAATCAATCAATCAATAGAAAAGATTAATGATAAACTTTGTACAATTGATTTCAAAGCATCCGTTTCAAATACATTGATCCAGAGGCTCCTATCTGCACCACCATCCATGAGGTAGTATAATTACAGGGGAAAGACGGCAACCTGAGAAAATATCTTCTGCAAAGCCAGTGACTTAGCTTTGTCTCTGGTGTAGGCGGTTTTTTAACTGCTGCACGGGGGTGGGATGGTCTGTCGGGATTCTGGCAACTGCTGCCCCCCCCCCCCCCAATAAGAGCCCAAATTTAGTGACTACCGACTCCCATTCAGTCAAATACACTGATGTCATTGAAGATTTTGTAACGTTTTGTATGAATCTCTTTTGAAGGAAATTCCACAGCCAACATTTGATACATTTTATTCAAGTCAGGGTACGGCATGGATGCCATCCTAGTTAGTGTGCTGGGAGAGTGAATATACACCCAGACGTAAGAGTCTCAGTAAAGGTTTGGACCAAAATTTGTGCTGTATATATGGTCCGACAGAAATCCTGTCTTTGAATCCCCACCTGGCTAACAAGCCCCGAAGGTTGGATGGACAGATAGAGGGATTCTTGACCTGGTTCTACGACCAGCACATTTCTGGGGACCTGATCAAAGTCGGTGCGAGCCCGGTCTCCCTCCAGCACGGCCACACTTCTCGTACAGACGTAAATCAGGCAGGGAAGCGCCATGTGGTTTGAAACAACAAAGTCAAGGTTAATCCTACTGCCTGCATGTCTGTGGGAGACATTTTTTGTAGGAAAGTCTTTGATCATTGCCACTCTGTCACAAGCCAGATTTTATTTATTTAGATCTGAAGATTTGGGTATTTGATGTCTGGTTAGGGTTAGAGTGGACCATGTGTTTTTGAACAGACCCCGAGGCAGGTTTGCCAAGGCAGCACATTTCACTGTGTCACTCTCAAAGTGACATGTGGTCACAAAAACAGCCAACAACTTTGATAGAAGTTCTGACTGACGTCACAACGTTAAGGCAATCTGAAACGTCCTAAGTCACCTAATAACCATCAAGACATCTTCAAGACTTTGGCCAATGACTGTTTGAGAAATTATTTGTTGGCAATTCAGTCTTTAGGTGAAAACACAAGGATCTTTGGGGACATTTTAATGTGGCCATATTTTTTTTGTGTTTTATTCAATGAAAAGCTTTGCCTTGCATCTTTCCTTCTGCACATGACTTGCAAGTAATTCAGATTTTTTGGTCGATCCTTGACCCTGATCATGAAATACTGGGTAACAGTTGCTCTGGCAAGTCATGAATTGGAGGGGAAAGGCAGAAACCACACTTAAGCCTTGCCCTTGCTTAATGTTTTGTAAACTAAGGTACATGTTTTTAAATTTGAATCATGTAGGGGGAATGCAGCAGTTGGAAGCCGGAGCTTCAGGTCTCGTAGCCTGAGTGGTGGATTGTTGCCAGGGCCAGTATACAGACTAGCTCCTCGGCTCCAGGGCCAACATGTCCCCGAGGAAACTGGGTCTAACTGAGGGGCTTGCCTGTATACCGGCCCTGACAACGGTCTAGCATCCAGGCTACAGGTGTTTTTCCCTACAGCCCAGTCCCCAGACAGCAGTTAACGATACCAGAACTCGTCCGTGTCGTCTGCTCTGTCCTGCCTGTCGGCACTATCTTCCCTATGCGTTTGTGACGGCGGGGAAGCCATGTCAGCATGGTCAGGGGGGTGTGGGGGGTGTGGGGGCAGCGAGTCGTCAGCCGAGTCGTGCGTTGCTTCTCCCAGGTTGTCCTCCTCCGAATTATACGCCCTACAAAATCGATCATAAAACGCCAATCAGTTCTTGATTCGTGACAATCATCGGTCTGGCATGCACAGTCCGTGTGAGCAAAGAATCACCATGCAATATCAATGTAGGTTATTGGAAACAATCAGATTATCAATTGCAGTATGTATCTCTTACATCACAGGTAAAACCCTGAAAGCATCAGTTCCCAAAACAGACAACCAGCTTCGATGCTTCAACACATTTTGTCTAGTTTCAAATCCCTTTACTTTAAATTTAACGCCTCATACATTAAGTGTCAAATATGGCAGTGAATTCTGATAATATCATTCCCCAGCATATCTCATATATAACAATCCTCCACATATTTTTTTTATTTCGTTAAGAATTTTCTACATGCGTTTTTAGGTCGTTGTTTCCGCCAAGCATTTACACCGGCACGCGAGTCAAACTTTTCCATGTAAACATCACGTACATGTAGTATGATGTACGTGCCAGCGACCCCTACAGTACGACTCTCTTCTGGCGGTCTAAGTAAGAAGAACATACACATTCCTTTTCCATTAGCGCTTTCGAAAATCCGTACGTTAACGTCACGAGATTTTGTCCGAGAGACGGGTTTCTCGGCCTGACGTTAACCTGGAATCCAGGCTGCCGCCAGGGCTAACACGGGCCCGTTCTTCGGCACCAGTGCCAACATGCCCCCGAAGATATTTTGCCACAACCCCGCTGAGGAAGACCCTCCTGGGACTGTTTGCATTCAGGTAGGCAAAAAATCTCCGGGATGGCCAGGCGGGAAGCTTACAGTGCCGAGAAGACGCAGCCTGTGTCCCTTGGAGAGACTGGTGCCCAGGCTATTTTTGTAGTCTGAGCTATGTTTCGTCTGGCGCGTGTCCCGCTCCGACGACCTTTGGAGCTTCCGACCGGGCCAGAAAGAGAGAGGGTACCTCGGGGTCACCACATGCATGCTGTGCCGCACATTTGTCATTGTGAATGGCAGGCCCAGACGTCTCTATATACAAGACTTTTTTCGTCGAGTAAACCTTGAAGTCAAGCAAAGAACTACGCAAATAATACGTGGCGTTTTTGTGAAAAACAGCTGAAACTGGGCCTAATGTCAGAGGAATTGCGTAAGGGTGAATTTCGCCCAGTAGACGTTAGACAGAACTTTTATGGCTCTAGAAGTTTCTTGGCGCCTACAGACTTGTACGTTAGTCTGCCTGCTTCTCCTTATTCTTGTGCGAGCTAGTATGGTGTATCCCTTATAAAATTTAGTTGTACATCGTGTATACGTAACCTCAAATTCTTTCACAGTTGAAAACATGTATTGGTCGTATTTCACAACCTGTCAGTGAAAAGCTCTTGAAAATTTACATCAAGTCATTTTGCCATTTTTTTACTTTTCCTTTCTAGCCAATACTGATACATAAAAGAACCCTGCCCTGCCCACATGCTATTTGTACGTGAAATTCCCTACTTCAGATTTTCGCAGACGTCTGTGGATGTGGAGGTGTGCCGCAGACGCTGTTTCCTCTTATCGTTCAATGTCTTTACGAAGCTGTCCTTGTCCACCACGGGGTGCCCGTCCTGTACCATACCCATGAGGATGTACTGTTCTTCCACCTTCAGTTCAGGACACGGGCACGGCTGGCGAATGGTGAAGTTCAGACTAATCTCTAGGGGAAACGCGCGCGCCGACTCCGCGCTTCCGAACATGCCCAGCCTGTCCTTGTAGACTGTCTGTAGCAGAATGACGGCCTTCGGTCGCTCGTCCACGTAGTCGATGATTTCTAAGACGGTCCCGACGATGGCAAAGTCACTCATGCAGAAGTACTCGACCATGCCGTAGCGGTTGGGGCACTTGGCGCAGGTGTTCTCGACATGGTACGGGCAGGCGTCGTTACAGCTGTCCAGGGTTTCGAAGTTGTTGGCATTCCCCCTGCAGCCACCGTAGATGAACCAGGAACACACGCCCTACGGGGGGAAGACAAGGAGGACATGTTATTTCCTCTCGCTGTGGCAAAGTTAAGGTTAGCTGTCAACACTTACCTAATGCGGCTGCAATGCGCCTAACGTGGGAATTCCGGCGGAGGGTCCCAACGGTCTCCCGCCAAGCCTAGAACAGGAAGCTGCGGTTGAAGTTTGACATAAGCTTTCACTGTTCAGACTGTTGCGTTGAAACTTGTTTTTGTTTTTCTCCACGCGACCAAAACGGCCGTTGAAACTTGTTTTTGTTTTTCTCTATGCGTCCAAAACCACCATATCCTGAAGAAAAACCGAAACATACACGTACATGTAACAGACACATTGAAACACAGGACACTTTTGTTGTTTGTTGGCCGTACTAAGGTCGTCGTCGACGTCGTCTAATCAGTAATGTATTCTTAATATTGCTTTTTTTGTGTTGGTGGCAGTATAGCAAATTTCCGGTCGTACCCCTGACATTTGTCCACGATACATCGTCATGCGGTGCGGTGTTTATACTTGAGTTTGAACGGTTTCTTCCGGAATTCCGCGTTGATCACAACAGACGCTCGCCATGAGACCTGCGCCTAACGTAACTTTCAGCAGTTATAATGGAACGCATTTTCTGAAGCAGAATACGCATGCTCTGAAGGTAACAAACACTCACACTGACAACTGACAAGCCGAACTCAGGACAACCCCCGCACATGATGAACCTTTGACCTTCGAGCCAGTGGAATAACAGACGCCGGCTGCTTCCAGCCCAATTCGCGGTTAGAAAAACATCAACAACCGTTCGCGAAGAGTAAACGCTCTTAAGGACCTTGACTCTTACAACACAGAGCCGCCGAGCGGAGCCCACGTTTAGCCGGCTTTCCGCAGGATAAGATGACAACAACAAGATTCTACAATTAACGCCCTGTGGGCGGGTGGATCATGACTGCAATGCATGACTATAAAAGTTCATGTCTCAAAGATAGTTTGAACGAAAAAATAAAGCTTGTATAATAATGTTGTATGTAGAATTGAGTTGGAACATAAGGCGAATAAAGGTACATTAAACACCATTTTAGATTGAGACAATAGACATATATCCCAATTTGTAGTCAGTCGTTACTCTATTCAATATGGTCTCAACGTCAATCTAAGGAAAAAAAAGGATTCAAACCGTCTCATTTTCAAACCTTCCACGATCCTAAGATAGGATGGGAGCTGCTCACCTTGTCTATGTCGTAGTACCACCTCGTCCCGTATTTCTTACAGGGGCCGGCCACTGCCGGGAGTCGGCACGTGGCGGCCGTCACATCGGGGCATGCCATGATGCACTCGTGGATGGTGTCGAACCTGTTGTCGTTGCCGCCACATCCCGAGTAGTCGAACCGTTCGCACACCTGGCGTTCCCCGTTGTAGTACCACCTGGCGACGCTGTCGTCGCAAGACCCTTCGTCCTTCGGGAGGGTACAGATGTCCTCCGGGGAGAAGGTAGACCCGTCGGGGAGAGGCTCGGGCGTCGACGTTGGAATGACTTTTACCGGGAACTCGACGGAGATGTCTCCGGCCACGTTTACCGCCATGCAGGTGTAGTTCCCTTCGTCCTCCAACTGGATATAGGAGATTGTCAATGTCCCAATTTCAGACACTTCCAAGTGATGGAAAGAATTGCCCGGCCCTAAAATGTTGTCATCGTCCCCTTGCTTCAGCCAGAAGACTGTGGGTGTTGGCACGCCCGAGACCAGACATTCTAACGTTATGTTGTCGTCCTCGCGGACCATGTGGATGAAAGGTTCAGATATGATGATAGGAGCCGATGTGGCGGGCTGGCTGGAGTCTTCCAACATACTCGGGACCTCGTGCGTCCATGTCGAAGTCGGGGCGCCGGTGTTTCGGATAATCGCCTTGCATGGAACCACGTGTATCGCCTTGCCAAGTTCGCAGGCCGTAGCGTTCATGTAGCACTCGTTGAAGTAAGTCATGCCGTCTGAGGCACACACGAAGCTCGGCTCCTTGTCCACGGGGCACAGAGACTCGCACACGCACTTCGGGCGGCCGTCCACCACCGTGCAGACGGCGCCTTGCTGCATGCAGTCGTACCCGCGGCACGACCCCTGCACACTGTCCTCCGTAGTCGTCGTGATCGTCGTCGTGGGGACGGTCTCCTCCGCCGCCGTCACACAGCTCTTATCCCCGCACGCGTTGTTGCAGCACTTTTCCTGCTGGAGACAGTCGGCGTCCGATAGACACCGCTTGTTGCAGGTGCTCAGAGAGTCTACGTAGAACTGCGGACAGACCCCGAGGTGGAGCGTAGAGCCGGTCGGCGGCACCGTCACGGCCAGACAGGCCCGCACGAGGAGAGAGCCCAGCAGAACAATTCTAGCTGCCATGCTTCAACAAGTCTCCTCTCTGTTCTGAGTCTAACCAACCGATTGTTTCACGCCGGACTGTTCTCGACAAATATTGTTTTGCTAGATGCACCTTTGTTACGAGCCGCTGGTGAATAAATACATGTGGGTCAGATGTCACGTTGGCACAACGTTCATCTCCGTAGTGATCAGACAGGCCTCCCGCCGGACCTGCTTGGTGGGAAGATCTCCAAACTTCAAGCTTCCTGTTATTGTGTGTCCGTCATTCAGGTTCCCTTTCCCTGTTGTTTTGATGACACGCCCGTTTGACGTCTTTGCCGAGGTGACCGCGGAAGGGAGTCAGGCCAGTCCGAGCGTCGTCCTCCTCCACCGAGTATGTTCTTGTCCCAGCGCGGAGCTCGCCCACGCCTCTCCGGCAGTGTTTATAGAGACGGGCCAGAGTCCGTTATAACGAAGACACACTGAGTAGTGACACCTTTATAACAGGAAAAGACCACCACCCGGGCACATCTGGTTCCCGAAAAACTATGCAAATTCGGGCCGTAGCGCTCCGACACGTGGATTCCAGAACAGGTGTCTCTACCCCCCTGAAGATATTTCTCGGAAGTGTTTTCGAGCCTTGACACGTTCAGTTCGTCCCTCTGATGTAGATAAGCAAACAGCACCGCAGTCGCAGCCCCCAAAAGGACAAGATCACTCGAAAAACGAGGATCGCCAGACTAAACAAGGTCGTCTAGCTCGCACAGCAAGCTTTCGTAATAAAGACAAAAATAACCAAACCATTTGCATGTGGCAGATCCCAGGCTGACTAGAATGTCCCCCTAAGCCAGTTTGCCGGAGATGCCGTGTCTGTGTCCCCATTTAGCGGCCCAAGAGAGGCCCGGGTCACGTCCATGTCAGCAAAACACGCCGCGCGAAGCCAACGCCGCGTGATATTGAACATGGGACAAGTTTTACGATGTGTGGCATTTATTGTTTAATATACCACCCTTCTCCGTTCGCAATATGTAGTACAGGTCATGTTCACGAAGAAAAAAAAAACTCTGATGTACAATAGTGGGACCAGGTGTTTCCTCAGACACTAAAAACAGCGGGAAACATTGCGCTATGACGTTTGCTCTAATGCCAGTCACACGTCATAGACGCTCCATCTGGCTTGGTTTTCCGTCAGACCACCAGAGACGACCGACTCTTCCGGGATAATCTCCCGAGACCACCTCGCTGTGTAGTTTTGATATTATGGAGTGATACCGACGTGATCCTGAACTTGTCCAAATACATGTGGGGGCCGGCGGAGTCACGCGTGTTCGCGCGTGCCCCAATCAGCAGAAGGGCTGGAACGTTTTCTGGAAATGTTTCGAAAGAGCTAGAAGTGGAAAGCGCTGTTCTGAAGTTGTCCTATCTCGAGCTCGAGATTTGATTAACGGCCAAGGTGAAAGACGCCAGCAACATGGCACGCGGAAATATCCTAGGCCTTCTGGCTATGCTCGGGGCGATATCCTCATGCAATGCGCTCAAGCAGATACGGAGCGTGGTGTTCACTCGTATTTTCGGCAGGAGAGAGTTACCGGTGTTCCGGCGGACTCTCCCTGTGTGGTTACCGGCCAGGTGTGGCCGGACGCACCGCACGACAAATAAGCCTCTTGCTGAGATTCTACCGAACACCTGTGACCGTGACTGTCTGGCTTTTCATGTCTTGCGATTTTGCCTATTTTCTAGGACATATGACAGGGCCAGGGGGTTTGACGTAAGTATGCCCCACGGGTGGCTGCTTGCCATCAAACCGGCATCTCCTGCGTTTTGTCCATCTAATACAGTCAGACTTTCAGGACAAGGTAACAAGAATAACAGTCTGGGACTGTTTGGGTGGAATCCGCTCCACTGACACAGTGTTTATTATGAATTCAGATACCAGAGCACATATGTGTTAAGTGTAAAAATATTTGACAACTCGTTTCAGTAAAAGAGTTGACCCTTGAAGACATGTTTTGTCTGTATTAAAGCTAATATACGTTTGAATTTGTTCTTCAGTCTTTAAACGGTCCTTTTAATAAGTTTTATACGCTTTAATTTATTTTCCTGTCGTATGGCGGTAGTTCGGTGTTAGCAACCTCCGGGAGACCATTTCAACTTTGAGAAAACACTACGTAGTGTTTTAGGTGTCTTACTACTCAGTCAGATCATGACTACCACGGACCATTCACTTCACAATAACAAACAAGTGCATGTGATTGACACCCCACGATAACGACAAAAACAGTCTTGACGGAGGAGGCAGCAGCTGGCCATGAGAAAGACGGTGTTTTTCCAAAAGCTCCTGACACTCAACGGACACTATGAAAATACCACGGCGGTGGTTCAAGCATCCCCACAGACAAGAATGGGATAAGACGCCGTGAGAGGCGGGGAAGAAGTCAAGATGTCTCCCAGCTATGCCGTCCGTCTTCGGTCGGTTGACATAAGTAAACGGTGGAAGGAATGATGGTGACATAAGAACTAGCCACACAAGACGTGAGAGGGGAAAAACAAGCCCAGGCAAAAAGTTGAAGCGCCTCACGGTTCAATGTCTGGTCAGGTGGGGCTTTGGTAATGACAGTGTCATTCGTCTCGTTTCATACAGCTACTCACTTGTTTCTAGTGTTTGGGGGGAGGTGGTGTTGGTGTTGGTGCACATCGTTTGTTTCCAATCGTTTTTTGTTGACAAACATTGTTAATATGATGTTGTTTGTTTAAGTGGCGCTGTTAATATAAGTATTGTTTACTTGAGTGCAGCGCCACTTTGTCTTTGTCCTATTTGTTGAATATAAAAAAAAAAATGACAGTGTCCCTTGCATCTGAAACTTTATTGCTCAAAACTCAAAATAGTCTACTGTAATCTTCCTTATATCTGTATCTGTACCTGTACAGCTGGTATAACAGCCCCTAATATTTGGTACATTGTGGCATCGCACCAGCTTCTGTACCTGTACTTTATTAATTAATATAGATAAGAATCTAGCTAAGGTTCTTATTAACGATATCATGAATGGCGTGGCGCTTCAAATCGGCAGATTGGGGAAAGGAGTACTTTGATGTAAAGTTTTTTTTTTGGTTTAGAAGCCGACGCCTGACCCTGTGCTTAGGGTGCATTTTGCATTTTCGTGTTATGTAAACTTAAGGTACAAAGCACGTTTGGCCAAAGACAGGTCTTGTTAACGTGTGCGATTTCTTAGAAGATTGTGAAAAACGACGGGGACAAACAAAGAAACTCCACGGGTTGCAAAGGGAATTCCAAAGAAAACTTCCGAATAGAACAACTGATGAAAACAAACAAAAAAGACAACTACACTTCATGTGTAGATGGTATTTTGGGATGTATTTCTGTGTGTTCCGTTTACCTAGTGTATGTCTATGTTTTGATTGTGTACAGTGTAAAAACAAACGAATAGTCAGCCAACCTTTGGATTGGCAAATAAACCATATAAAAATAACATATAAGCGATCGCGATCGGTGCCAGTGAAGTTGACCCCCACAGTAGTCTAGAGTCAAAAGTGCAGTCCTTTACAATGTACTGCACAAAGGCAACGGAGCAATAAAGCACTGTGCTTTACTAGTGTCCCACAGTTGCTCATTTAACAATTTATACTATATTTCTGTTAAACTTTGATGGAGGTTAGATACACAGGCATTACTCCAGCAGCTGGATAGATTTTGAAAACGGCCATCAGCTACCTATCGTCAGTAACTGCAAGAGATCTGTAGTCAACAGGTATTTATAAAAAAATAGTCTCTGGCAGTGGAAGCTACATGAAGCGTCTGTTTTTAACGTCTGTCCCGTTGCTACAGTAACTGCTAGACTTTTAGAGACTTTTAGCCCCGTTGCTTTAGTAACAACGTGTAGAGTGATGTTCATCCACACAAACTCATCTCCGGCTTATGACAGGTGCGACGCCGTCGCCATGGTGATGATGAGGAAGAAGGCCACGCCCCTTCGCGTGACGCCATCCACATGAACTGTTCTGGTGGACAGAGACTGCGCACGGACACCCATATATTACACATTTCACAACTGCTGTACTTGTAGCTCGTACAGTACTAGTATTACCTGTTACCTACATGCGCAGCAGTTAGTATTGACTTGTCGAGGTCTAGTCAATGTCGTGCTTTATTAGGCCAAGTTGATCTGATTGTATGTATGACATCCGCGCGCGCATGAATTTTCGGCCGTTTCCAAAAAAAAAAAAGTTTCAACCATTCTGTAAATTGTACAAACCAGTGGCAAAATTAACAAATATGTACCGTAAGTTGCAAAAAAAATATTGGTAAACGATACCAATGTCGTGGAATGCCAAAATCAAACGAAAAAGACGAAAATGTTAAGAAATGTATTTGAAGAGTTGAGTCTTCGCCATACCATCCTCTGCGTCATTTGTTCAACTTTCATGACCACGCAGATTTTATTAAAGCAACTTTGCCAAACTTTTTTTATTCGCACGTTCGCATCAGTTTTGGGGTTCCCCGTGAAAGTCATCCATATACTAGTAATCAAATCAACTTGGCCTTACATTGAGTCCATTGCTCAAAAGCGCCCCGCGCGCCTGTCCATGGAAATGCATGCCGTTCGGCCAGTCGTGGAAATCTCGCGAGACAGGAGACGTCATCCGATGGATGATGCCAAAAGTACCAACGGGGAGTTTTATAAAATTGATATCTTCAATTGAAGAGCTTAGTAAATAATGAATGAGGAATGTCATAATAACCAATCTTATTATGTACGTCATGTTGTTTTTAATATGTTTGAAGATTCTAACCACAAAGACATTTCATAATTGTGAAACATAAATTCAAGTACCCCACTTCGAGTGGTGGGAGCTTCATCATAACAACCCATCATGGCGGCCATCAAACGTTTGTTGAAACTTCCGGGTGAGTATCCATAACAAATACCATTATTCCTCTTAATTAACGAACTTAACGCTTTCGACTTGGATATCATATGAAAGTGCATAAGCTTATCCAGCGAATGCAATATTGTTGGTACAAATTCTCGAGTTTTTTTTACCCCTGGCAAGGTGATTTGCGCGCGTCTGTGTGTTGCTGAAAGTGTTTTCAGCATATGCCGGATCTGGATGTAACGTTACCTGGAAAGTGTTCTGTACGTCTGTGTGTTGATATATTGCATCTGAGGTCTTCTTGATTTCCAGCTAGAGTGATGATGTCAGTCTCTGATTTTCTTTTGCGTACTCTATGTCCCGTATATGCTCCCCACCTCTTGTATACTTGTTGCATCCCATGTCTTTCTCTGTCCAAGCATGCTCCAAGGAATTTAAAGCTCCATGCTCCGTCGTAGCGGGGACAATAAATCATACAGGTTATATGGTTGGCGGTCCCCAGCTGACCTCATGTTTAGCTTTGTTTTTTTTTTCTATCTCTCACAAGGAGGTGTTTCTATATGTTTCATCAGAATGAGCAAGATTTAGTACATAGTCTCAAGTCAGTCCATTTCGGCAGGTCAATATGGGGTCATGATAGTGTGGGGCGCGCCGGGAGTCCCTGGGGTTCTCCCTGTCAATGTGTGTATAAAGAAACAAAGGTACGCTCACGTGTGTACGCAGTTTTCGTCCGCAAGGATTTTTCCTGGGCGTAAACCAGGTCTATATCCTTGTTTCCATGCTCTTGACATTTAGGACCAGTCCTTTCCTCCAGATCCCTTGTAGCGGTATGCCTAAATACCTCAACCGACCTCAACCGGCCTCAACCGACCGCAACCGACCGCGTAATGGGTTGATATGCAGTATACATGGGCTAACAACCTTTTCCAACGCTCTGGATACATTGTCTATGCTTGTATGTAAAAAACACTGTAACTCTGACGTATTTACCAGTTTTTAAAAGTTATTCCTCTGGTTTGACGTTCCGCGGAGCGTTCCGCCTTGAGGTCAATGGAGGTCAATCCGGTAGGCGTTCGTGCTTATCAGCTTGGATGTCAGGCTGGAAAACACTCTGTATATAGCTATTATGAGTTGGTTATGATAGCATTTGTGCTTTACTATGATTTATAAACCAACATCTTTGCGTTCTGTTGCCTGTATAAAGCAAAAGGTGTCCAGAGATTCCCCATGCAGGCCCAACGATCGGGGGATCCAACATGGCGGCCATGAAAAGCATTCTAACTTTTAAAAACTGGTAAAAACGTCAGAGTTACAGTGGTTTTTTTTCATTCATACAAGCATAGACAATGTATCCACAGCGTTGGAAAAGGTTGTTAGCCCATGTATACTGAATATTAACCCATTACGCGGTCGGCTGCGGTCGGTTGAGGTATTTAGGCAGACCCCCCTTGTAGCAATTCCAAGATTCCAAGTCCATCACTTTCAGCGGCATATACTAACTACTCTTCCATTCTGTCACACAGAAAACAGGATACACACGATAGCAGGAAACGGGACGTATGAATGATATATGGAAGACGATCATGTGTTCAGACCTTAATATTTTAGTATCTTGACTTGATCAATTCTAGATCTGAGCACTGAATTAGCATTCAGAGAGCACTGCTGCAAACTGCTACAATTATCTAAATGTCAAAGGAACATTCATTCTTTATTTCAGGTAAAAAACCCATATAACACATGTACAGTAGTACATCATTAAAATAATACAAAAACTCTACAGACATACAAATAAAACAGGAAGAAACCTAGATGCATAATAAATTGTAAGTCTTTCGAAAGTGAATTCCTGTAAAAGGCATCTTAATAAGCGACTTATTGTTGCGTTGTGGGAGGAAAGTAATCTTTTTTAAAAAGAGTAACAAATCCACCGCCTAGTTTCAAATGTGTCAATATAGTGATAGACAAACATCTCACTACATCGCCGAGGTAAATTCATGATAATTCTAAAGCAATTGTTATAAGCAACTCGGCACTTAGACAGAACACCTGAGCTAGCAGAGCTCCATAACTGAGCGCCATATAGCTGGGCGCAATACATCATAAACAGGTGTCTCTTAATGGATGGTGAGCAACAGAAAAATTTGCGATTGATACTGTTTGCACGGCTATAAAGACTCTTCAGCAGAGCAACATAGACATTTTTTTCTAAGTGTTTCTCAGACTTTTGAAATGAGGAAAAGAAGAAGGCATTGTGACAAACAGAATAAAATGACATCAGCAGATACCTGACACACATGAAGTCACCTATCTCTAAAAGTTTGTTCTCTCAGATAAAATTTCTTCCAGGTTACTAGTAGTTGTTTTCAAATGGCCTGTTGCAAGTACATGTAATATAGGCCAGATATTCCCAGATGAGTCTCTGTCACGCTGGACAGTTTCAAACCAGCAACAACTGACACAGAACATGAATTTGACCTCAGGCCATTTGTGCTCACTGCACATAGCACAGATGTTGATCCTGCTCAACTGGAATCATCATAACCCATCTGTACCACCTATCAATATTTTATTCAAAGTATGTTCAACTCAACTAAGTGCTATGCCAAATCAATAAAAGCGTTCACCTTTCCATTCTAAACCAAATTGGGTTTTAGTCGATGTTCTTTCTAAGTCATTGTTAGGGCATCTGTATAATGTCCTTGGTTAGGGTTATATCATTCCTTGCCTGCTACTTGAAATGAGTTGGTTATGGTATACGTAGATGCACATGCATTTCCCAAGCTGCTGCCTTAAAATATTGACTACTAGATGCAAACTTGTTCTGTACATAATGTAAACTCCTGTAGAATAAGTACAGTGTGTCCCAGAAATCGTAGCAAAAATTTACAAAAAAATCTAGAAATGTTTCAATGTACACATATCGTAAAGTGTGACATTTTTACATAATAAAATTTGCTTGATGAAAGTTAATTCTTAAAGTAAATAGTCCAGGTGGTGAAACTGTGGCATTACATGTGTATAAGCTCTGATTTTAGTTTGTTTAATGCATAATTTACCTACTTGAAAGTACCACATGTATACCAATCAATGTCATTGTTGCTTTTTTTCTACTTTTTAACTTTCCTTCTGTCTCTGTCCTTTCCATGACTGCTTGCTCTATAAAGTATTTATTTTTGCCATGTTTATTTTCTGCATCTACACTACAGCAAGAGCCATGGTGAGACTACAACCCAGTTCAGCCCAGTCTGTCCCTAAATCAAATTCTACACTGACTGCTCTTGTATACCTTTGAGTTGTGATTTATTCTGGTTCACTGCTAACTCACAGGATCTAAAGATTGAATATCACAATCATCTATCATTGCTCACCCCCAAGACTCAGGATCACACTCTGTTGTTTATCATTGTCTGATTCTTTTTGTAGTGGTTGCCAAGTTAGATAATGGCAATTTGCAATAGGAGACACAACAAATTATGTGCATTATAAAGTAATTACAGGTTCTAGCAAGAATATTGATGTTTATTTTCACCATTGCACATGTGTGTACTGTCTACTTGGGTAACTCAAGAAGCTATATATGAAGGCTAATTTAGCACCAAGGAACGAGTAACAAAACTCAATTACCTGCTTCTCAAACGTGATAAAATTCAGATGTAAAAATTGTGCTATTTTATGTAAAAGTGTATATTGTGAATTACGTACATTAAGTTTCCTTTATTTCCTATAAGGTACTCACCGGTATTAAGTAACATGCTGCCTTAGCAGACATTTACACTCGGATTCTTTTTTCATTGTTTTGTTACAAAAAGGTTGCTGAACAGTAATATTCTTAGACTGCCACGTACAGTCACATAACATACATAACATTGTTTTTGTAGGGTACTAAAAATGAACTGTTGCATTAATGGAGAATGTGCCACATTTCGTACAGTTGGTTAGTCAAGCAAAGCAGCTTTTGGAACCAATCAGTGATACAGTTGAGCTGTAACATATGGCTTTGTCTAGACTTGCTGCTCCCTGTGCATCTAACCATTACAGCCAACAGAACCTCTTCTTTCACATGACTTCACATCATACTTAGTTTTATAGGCCCAATCTCTCCCGAGCTACTAAATCATGGAACGCAAAATTGCCTGGGATGTCAATAAAGCCACGGCGGCCCAGCGTTTATGGCTCAGATGAAGATTTAGACTCCGCAGCCTCTGACGTATTCACAACATACACATGATAAGTCTCCCTCCTAGTAATACCTCCACAGTCATTGGTGCATGAAATTAAAACTCTCCTTTCGAACGCTCAGTGCCTTCTCACACACTCACAGGCCTTTGCTTGCCTCCAAAGAGGTTAAGATTTGGTATCAGTGCAGAGGTGTATTCTGGCCTCCAAGACAATTGGAAAATATCAGAGATGCGAGGGACATTTTATGGAGCACAACAGTGATGCTGCATTGTTGGATAAGACTGTGAACTGGAGGATAATCTCAGAATGCTGCTGCAAGAGCCAAGCTGCTATGTGATCTCCTTACCAGGGGAGAGTCCGGGCTTTGGTAGGGACCAGTGTTTAGTTCTATCATGCTCAATCACTGTGCTTGCATTGTATGGACAGATAGGCCATTTTTGTTCCCTCAACATGTTCCGCTCTTAACAGATAGCTTCTAGATAGGCACCTGTAAGAGAGATTTTTTCCTCTTTTAGGACATAAATAATGACACGGATGAAAATGTTATAATCCAGTATAGTTCTATTAAGTTTTCCTTTGGAGCAGCCATAAAACTAACTTGTATCTTATTTCAGTACCAAGGACAGTGTCAGCAGTTTCATTTTCAGATGATCAGTATCTATGTGCTGTTCAGCACTTTTTTCATGAACCAAACTTAACCTTGTCCCTTCTGTATGACCCATAACCTGTAAAAATTGGGTACCAAATAGCTACATTAGCAGGCCGAAAGTTAAAATTTTACACTTTGTTGCAACTCCAGGAGAGGGAGTCACGACGGGAGGGCTTCGAAACCTCCCGAAATATCACGAACTTCCGCAAGATGTTAGTGACGGGGAGGACACGGATGAAGAGGTTACGATAACGGCGGCAGACTTTCAGCCTGGTCACTTCCTCCCCCAGGGAAATGACAAGGCGTGGACTCAGAAGGATCAAATCGAACTAGACGAGATTGGAACGCAAAAAAGCAACCGACCCAGTAAGGTTATAGACTCGGAACTTGACGTACAGGTCAGTTCAGGGTGGCTGGCCCTGTCCAGGACTCGTATCGCTTGCTTCCTGTTTTCCCTCAGCATGTGCGTGGGATTCTTTGTTGCCATGGCGATTGCCTTCCCTTGTGAGGAAGAAGGAACACATTTACAGACACCTCCTTGGAGAGTAACATTATCAGATGCAGGTAAAGTTTTTCTTGTTTTATTCAGTGACCAATACTGGTCTTGTAAGTTACCCTAAGTCTAGCGCTCAAGTGCAATGTATGTCAATCTCAAAAATCGATCAGTCAGTTCTGACCCTCAATCACAGTTCAATGTACAAAAATATTCATTAATATATCAGTGCACCTATTATTATCGGTACTGCAAAAATGAGCCGACTGACAATCGCAGCTCACACAGTGCCAGTTCAGTCTTCAACATTTAAAAACACTGTATCAGAGTCAATGGCTCCCTTCAATGTAATGTTGAGTATCTTTTTATTACAGCTTCAGAAACATCAGTGCGACTGTATGACATTGATGGAGATGGCCTGTTGGATGTTATAGTTGGGTTAGGGTTCACAGCACTAGGAAACATCAGTGACAGCTGCCGCTCTTTAGGTCAGTAATATTATATATCATATAATGTTAAGGTGCATTCATTATTGGTTCATATACATGTATGTAATGGAGTGAGGTTGCTAGATGATTAAATATACAGTTTTCTTCATCAATGTTCTTCTAGGAATGCAAGACCATGAAATAGTGTATTCCATTCCAGAGGGAACAATGGGCAATTATCGTAATCATAATTTTCACACAGCATTGACCAGAGAAAATAATTTTGGACTATTATTTTGCACCCCTGGCCCAACTGTGACTTTTAGAAAGAAATTCTGAATGCACCAGAGCTGGATACACAATTTCTTAACTACACATGCCCAGGTAGAAGTAAAGACAATGTTTATTTCCAGGTGTGGATGAGGTGTCATCATGTGCAGGTGGGATCAGGGCTTACAATGGCGCCACAGGGAAACAGTTGTGGCACATCCCCACCTTCGGGGAGGTGTTTCTCCTGAGGTGTGGGGGACTGGACATTAACGCTGACGGCTGGGAGGACTGTCTGGCCACAGGCAGGATGGGGCTCATGCTGGCCTTCAACCCAAAACTTGGTAAGGAAGTGTCACTAGCAAAATATGAGACTCTTAGTCATGGATTACATGCTATATTAACCAGGGTGGGTAGGTTTGGATGCACCATATAACATGTAATATAAGATAAAATAAGTAGAATGTCAGCAAAACTTAATTATGTTTCATTTCTAAGGAAAAGTATTATGACAAAGGTTTTATTACCTTTTTGACACTTAGATGTTAAGAATATGCTGTATACTACTACACATTGAACATCTTTATGTAAACGAACCGAAATATTTGGGTGCACTGGAGCACCCACAGAAAAAAATTGGTTGCACAGCTCCAAATTTGGGTGTACTAAGGTGCACATGCGCCTAGTATTTCGAGCCCTGTTAACTTTTATCCCATACCTATTCATTCATGTTTATGCTAAAGGGAAGAAAACTAGTCTTTCCAACACTGGTGTTTAGGGTTTTTCCTGGGGGCCACAGGACTTCAGCTGCAACAGTAACGTTTGATGGTTGTGTCATTCAATGGTTGGGTGTCGGAACATTACCATATAAATGGAAACCAAGCAGATGTCAGGAGGGAAAGACTGAATGAAACAAGAAGCGATTTAATTCTTAGCCGCAGTCACGGCTCTGTTAAAAAGAGCTCTGTATTACAATTGTGCACCTAAATCCTGTCTTGTTAGAACATGTATATGTCCCATTGAAGACACCAAGTTGACCAATAATTTCAGTCATACATCATCATCACACTCATGCCTAGCCTGATTAAATCACTTTATGGTTGCCGGCCGCCCAACATCCAGCCTGCGGGGAGGGGCCACTAAAGCTGCGGACGGCAGAGTTTGCGTTATACAGACTCATGCCACCCAACCAGCTACATGTATTCCCATCTTTACTTGGCCCCTGGCCAGATTTTTTAGACTAATTTCTTGCTCTGTAGCATTTAGGACACACAGTTGTATAAGTAGGTTGGTAGTCTACTGGTAGTGTGTGTTGAACTATAGTCTTATATCTGCCCAGATACAGTTTCCCAAGTGAAGAGTTACAGTAACTGTACTACTGTAGGCAGAATGTACCATGTTTTAACAAGCTTAGGAAAAGTTGTTTGGGGATTGAACCCACGACCTGCTACATTACACTGTACCTGCAAAGCCATTTCAGTGGTCAGAGGTGACAGAATCAGACAGGATGTGTTGTTTGCAGGTGAGGTTTTGTGGCGAGTGGACCCCACGTTAGTTGACCACCATTGGAACTTCTACATGCCTCAGCTTGTACCTGATCTGGACAGGGACGGGGTGCCCGACCTTGTTGCTGCTCATGGCGGAGACCTCCGCTTTAAAGCACACGTAAGTTTTTTTCACATTCTCTTTCCTTTTTTAAATCTTCAGTGAGGCCACACTAATTTCATTTGTTGGTTCTCAAATTTTCCTCTTCATTTTTTTCTGATTTGCAAAAGAAAAAAAAATTCTGGTTCTGAATCAACTCAAAATATGCTCATATTTTGCCCCCAACAGTCAAGGAAAGTCCTTCTCTTCCTACTTGTTACAGTTTTTCCATCTATCAATGCAGTGGTTTGATTGAAAGTTCAGAATTCATTGTTTAAATACTAACCCAGCCTTTTGTTTTGACTTCATGGCTCCTATCGTAGCATTTGGGACCATAATAGGATGCTTAGACTTGTTATTTTTATTTTTTTTTGCCGTCACCTCATATTTTTTGTGAAAAAATTTGAGAATCAACAAATTAAATTGGTGTGGCCTAAACAAAATATTCAGGTCACTGTGGCATTTATCCTACAGTTATTTTCATGTTGTATTCCATTTAGCTATAACATCTACAGTAACATAGTTCTGCCAGACTGGGTTATGTATGTCTGCTACGGTATGTTTGAGAAATCTCTATTGCCCTACCCACGGGTATATATGCACAGTTTAGATATGCCGGGGTGAGTTTTACTGGCTGACGTTGCATGCATACATATTGGAGATCTGTTTAAAGGTATTTTTGGGGTGGCGGGTACATTGTGTATAGGTGACCTGGCAGATCATTAATAAACCAGTCATACATGTTAAAACCCTCCCCAGGAACACAACAGGACAGCAGGCAGACTGGTGTTACTGTCCGGCGCCACCGGCCGGAGTCTGGGGTCCTGGCTGGACATGCCTGATGGTCATGAGACCTACATGTCTGTGGTAGTGCATCAGACCAGGGACGGTTCACTATATGCCCTGTTTGGGTCTGGAGGGGAAACCATTACAGGTGAGTGGTCTGGATCCCTACATAACACATAGAACATAGAAATATAGAAATTTAAACATATGATGAACATGCAGCCGCTATTTTTATTGTTCTAAATGCTATTGAAGTGCCATGCTATCATTGACGGAACTGCTAACTGTGATAGACAGTCAGGATTGGCCTGTTGTTGACGTACATGTATAACCATACAGGTAATGGTAAGTTTGCTTTCTTATTTGATATATGGTCATGCTTGATAAGTTTTTCTAATATTAGGAACTTTATATACAACCAATAATATTCCAATTACATGGAAACATTTTCGGCAGTCCTTCTGCTGCTTTCCTTAGGGCAATAATGACTGCATTTCTGATTCCCACTGCTAGGTGGCACTGTAATGGGAAGAATGTTTTCTGAAATGTGACTAAGATTAAACCTTCTCAATCTAGCCCAGTCGGGAACCATAATGAGGAGCGATACAAGCTTAGTCATGTTTGGGACCGCACAGAAGTCCCACGTAGTAAAATCAGTGTTGCCCCGAGGAAGGGGTTTCTCTTTTTAGCGAACGCCCACGAAAGCCCAAAAATTGTCGCACGAATCTTAAAATTTTTTGTGTGGTCATGTCCAGAGTGTGCTCGCGGGTGTCCATGCCAAGTTTGAAGCGAATCCATCGAGCCGAACTTAAATAAATCGAAATTTACTGGGTTTTTTCTCTTCTTGGCGAACGCCCACTTTACTTCCGGGTTCGCTGCGAACGCCCACTACTCTTTGCAAAATTTCGGCCCTCGCGCAACGCCGGCAAAATCCACCACCACAAATATGTTCCTATATGCCTCCCCTGAATTTCTGACAAGTTTCCGTGCTTTACGTGCTTTTAAAGTACCCATTTTTTTACAAAATATGCGCTGCGACGAGCTCGCCGCCTCGGCGTATACGTTTCACCTGGTCACATGACTTGCGGTCGGGGACTGTTCGGTAATTTCATGATCAGCGGGAGGGAGGAAGGGTTGCAGAAAAACGCAATCTACCGCACAAAACATAAATGATTTCCTTTCTTACATAATTTTCACCTCGGTTCTAGTAGTGACACCGCCGAATAAAGTACGCACTTTTGAAAACTTTTCAAAATACAAAAAGTACCTTATTTGAGGTTTTCCCCGACAAATCCAACGACTACCGACGAATATAGCGAAAACCGGCAAGGAGAATTGCACTACATCGATTCGTACATAAAATGTCGGATGATAATGTTGACGCGTGAAAATAAAGTTAAACTTTAATAAATGAACGTATTTCATGTGTGTATCGTCGATATTGACACGAAGTTGCGGTAAAACGAGAAGATGCAAGGTAAGATAATGTAGGTCACTCACGTCGCGGTGCTCGGTCATGCTGACGGGATGGTCGCCAGCCAGCCGCCGATATCTCAGTGGAACCCCGGCCGAAAATAAATACCCCCGTAAGTATGAACGCAATTCTATTAAATAGATTTATGAGTGGTAAGATGGTAAGATTTAAAATGGTCCGCAAGTCGTCGTAACGTAGTGAATAACGTTACAAGTATAACATGACAGTTGCGCTTCAACTGATGGTCAGTTCTGATGCACTTTCGGCTATAGTTAAACACAGAAATCTTCAACAAATGTTATAGCCATGCCGTTACAAAGGTTGAAATGACACACATCATTTTACTTCGTATCACAAATCTATTTAAATATAAACAAATGCCGCAGAAAATTATTTTGTAGCGGGACTATACCAGCCAGTATTACGCTAAAATGATGGGTAGATGTACAAGGCATGGCCTTACAATGATAGGGTTTTTTGGGCGAAGTCTTTGAAATCCTTTGCTGCCCGCCGGTGGGTGGGGCCCATGTGCGTGCTGCTGTGGGCGTGACGCCGCTTTGTCTGACCAGGACGTGCGGTCGTCTTGACAACACAACGTGGGAAGCAAGCGGCCAGAAGCATTCAATGCTGCAAAGTTTTATTCCTTTGATTTGTGACATGAGCAGTAGTTTACTAAACGAGATATTTTTCAAAAACTCTTTCGCTCGCGTCTCAGCAGTCTCGTTGTTGTTTTGGGTTCGGTGTCAAATTTTAAATACGGTAGCACATTAAAATTCCCCGCCCGGTCGAACTTCTCCGCCTCGATCATTTGTTGCTCACTGATGGGGCGGTCAATCAGCGCGGACGTGGTTTACAACGAACGTGGCGAGCGGCGCCGACAAAAATTTAGGGCCCCCTCCGTACTGTAACGTTGCGTCTGTCTATAGTTCAGCAGAACAATTTTACAACATGGTAATTGTCGCCGGCGGTGTCACTACTAGAACCGAGGTGAAAAATTTATGTAAGAAAGGAAATCATTTATGTTTGATCTTACAAACACGAAATTCTGCCCCTTTTGTGCGGTAGATTGCGTTTTTCTGCCCTTCCCTGTCCTCCCTCCCGCTGATCATGAAATTATCGAACAGTCCCGACCGCAAGTCATGTGACCAGGTGAAACGTATACGCCGAGGCGGCGAGCACGTCGCAGCGCATATTTTGTAAAAAAATGGGTACTTTAAAAGCACGTAAAGCACGGAAACTTGTCAGAAATTCAGGGGAGGCATATAGGAACATATTTGTGGTGGTGGATTTTGCCGGCGTTGCGCGAGGGCCGAAATTTTGCAAAGAGTAGTGGGCGTTCGCAGCGAACCCGGAAGTAAAGTGGGCGTTCGCCAAGAAGAGAAAAAACCCAGTAAATTTCGATTTATTTAAGTTCGGCTCGATGGATTCGCTTCAAACTTGGCATGGACACCCGGGAGCACACTCTGGACATGACCACACCAAAAATTTAGATTCGTG